GAGATGAAGGCAGTAGGCAAAGGACCCTGCTGGCCCTGAAATAGCAGCAAGTCTTCCTCTTCCTCCTGCTGCTGTGCCTCCATTGCCCAGTAGTATACAGCCACAGAGTGCGTGGTCCAGGCAAGAAAGGGATTGTATAACTATTACCCACCTTGTCATGGCTCCTATCAAAATAATGAGCCATTGACGCAGTAAAAAGAACCACAGCTCCCCAGGGATGAGGCAAAGGATCCTGCTGGCACTGAGACAACAGCAAGTCTACCTCTTCCTCCTGCCTCTCACAAACTTTGGCAATTTAAATTGAAAATGTGATAAAAATGTGTTAATAAAATGTCCTTAAATGAAAACAATATGAAAAAATAAATAGTAGATATACAGTAGATTGGCCTTGGTCCTACATACCTTCCAAGCCTCCATATTGGTTCTTGAATGTGATGAGCAGTCCTAACCAATATAGAGGTTCAAGAAGTAGGAGGGGGCACAAAAGGCTGAGACTTGCATATAACTGCAGCTGCCTATATTTCGGGATCCCTTTGGTTTTTATTTTGGTAACTGCAATAAGGTAACTCATTTTCATTAATTGCACATTGTTTTGTAAAGTCTGTATTTTTAATATTTAGTTATTTTTTTAATCAAAAGGTTTCATTTTACAGACAAAGATTCAGATCTAGACACAGAAATATGCTTAAAGTGATCACTAAACACAAAATGAGTTGTTTCAGTTAAACTACCTTCCAAGATTGAAAGCTCAAGCAATTTGTTTTCTTTCTAAAGGTGCAGAATTTAAAAAATGAGAACACCTCTGGCTGTGATACTCACCTTCAATCTGGATCTGTCCACCACAGTACCTTTTCTTTGCCTCAAGATGTCCTCGGACGTTCGAGTTGAACAACACCTCAGTTCACTCAACCTAGAAGACTGAGGAAAGACTGCGAGTGCCCACTGACTATAGCACCCTGTACTCTCAGTGTATTGATACAGAGAACAGTGTTGATGTCATCATGTCAGTGCTGCTTCCTGCATTAACCAAGACATCTGAACAGTAAAAGGACCCATGCCTGACCTTACCTCCAGGGGATAAGGGGTTGTATTGGGGAGGAATGGGGTAGACACCCATAATTGGGTTTTAATGCTTTAAATTATATGCCTGTAGCAGAAGTAACATATTTTCAGAATTCAGCTATGAAAAGGAAAACATGGTTATTATACAGTAGTGATATCAACTACAGGACCCATTTGTAGGACAAGGAGCATATATTTAACCTGTAAAAAAAAAAAAATAAATATTATAATATATATATATATATATATACCTAATGTCTGTATACTTGTGCTTGTGAATATATTTTATAAATATATTTTTGTACATGCTACTTTAATTTATTTCAATTATTTTAGTTGTAAAATATTGAAAAGTTTAGGTTCAACAGACCCTCTAATTGATACACACTGTAGTACTGGATATTTTATAAGCTGAAAGCAAGCTAACCTCAAGGGGATATTAGTTTTCTGTATATAATAACAGGAAAAACTGTATCCTGACATTAAGGTCTGAATGAGTATCGTGGAACAAAAAGGCCATAAATTAACATCAATTATGCATTAAAGTTCCAATTAACCTGGCTGACACTGATATACTTTAACAAGGTACAATTAGATAAAAGAAGCAACTCTCTAATTACTTGGGACAGGACCTTTTGACCTGTTCTGTACTTTTATCCCAGCGCCAACCTAGTGAGGAAGGAAGTGAGAGAAGGAGTGAACGGTGAGTGTGTTGGGAGTTCAGAGCAGTAAGCAGTCCCCTGGAAAGTCCTTTGCCTACGTAATGCTGTCAGCCCATTCATTTTTTATGTGTATCACCTTTTACTACTTGAAAGTTAAATCCTCTTTATTTCACTCCACACCTAAACAGGGAGAACTAGCAGATACATTCTTTGTTTAAACATTTTTGCTATTGTTTGCTTGAAATAAATTTGTATAATTTAAATAGGCAAGTGTATACTTTTTGGAAGTAAAACAGCAAAATACAGGCTACAGAATTGTTATTTTCTATTACATGTTTTTATTTATTTGGTGAGATGTTTCTCCTACTGCATTCATTTACTATCTAACTATCTATCTACTTACGGTAACTATATATCTACCTATGAAAGCTCAGTATCTACAATTGGCAGATTTCTTTACTAAATATTTACTAGCAGGCCTGGAGTTGCCATTAGGCCAAAAATGTTACAATTTTTAAAGAACGTATATAGGTTTAAACAGTATGTGTCAGTGATCAGATTATTTTTTCATTGTTTGTTTAAACCGAAATTAATTTTAAAGTTGAACTCCTGGCAAACAGTCAATTGCACAGATGAAATACATACACTACATTAAATAAAAGTATTGGGACGCCTGCCTTTACATGCACATGAACTTTAATGGCATCCCAGTCTTAGTCTGTAGGGTTCAATATTGAGTTGGCCTACCCTTTGCAGCTATAACAGCTTCAACTCTTCTGGGAAGGCTGTCCACAAGGTTTAGGAGTGTGTCTATGGGAATGTTTAACCATTCTTCCAGAAATGCATTTGTGAGGTCAGGCCAGTCAAGTTCCTCCACCCCAAACTCGCTCATCCATGTCTTTATGAACCTTGCTTTGCGCCCTGGTGCACAGTCATGTTGGAACAAGAAGGGGCCATCCCCAATCTGTTCCCACAAAGGTGGGAGCATGAAATTGTCCAAAATGTCTTGGTATGCTGACGCCTTAAGAGTTCTCCACTGGAACTAAGGGGCCAAGCCCAACACCTGAAAAACAACTCCACACCATAATCCCCCCTCCACTAAACTTTACACTTGGCACAAGTAAAATACTGTTCTCCTGGCAACTGCCAAACCCAGATATGTCCATTGGATTGCCAGACAGAGAAGCGTGATTCGTTACTCCAGAGAACATGTCTCCACTGCTCTAGAGTCAAGTGGTGGCGTGCTTTAAACCACTACATCCGACGCTTTGCATTGCACTTAGTGATGGAAGGTTTGGATGCAGCTGCTCGGTCATAAAAACCCATTCCATGAAGCACTCTATCCACTGTTGTTGTGCTAATCTGAAAGCCACACAAAGTTTGGAGGTCTGTAGCTATTGACTCTGCACACAGTTGGCGACTTCTAAGCACTGTGCGCTTCAGCATGCGGTGAGCCCGCTCTGTCATTTTATGTGGCTCACCACTTGGTGGCTGAGTTGCTGTTGTTCCCAGTTGCTTCCACTTTGTTATAGTACCACTAACAGTTGACTGTAGAATATTTAGTAGCCAGAAAATTTCACAGGTGGCAACATATCACGGCACCACGCTTGAATTCACTGAGTTCCTGAGAGTGATCCATTCTTTTACAAATATTTGTAGAAGTAGTCTGCATGCCTAGGTGCTTGATTTTATACACCTGTGGCCATGGAGGTGATTGGAACACCTGAATCCAATGATTTGGAGGGGTGTCCCAATACTTTTGGCAATATAGTGTATATGGGAGCCATTTTACCTGTGAAAGGATTTTAATTTCTCGCCATCCAGTCCTGATATTTACACAGCTCTGGCACATCACACAGCCCTGTCTAAACGTGAGAAGGAGGAGATCTGATTTTTCTCTGCTACTGTTCAGCAACATAGGTACTTTGCCTCTGATGCAGCCGGCTTCACCGGTGAAACTACTCAGGCTTCCATCTTTGCTCTCCCTTTTTCCAGCTTCTGGGGTGGCTCTCCCCATTATATATGGACCAGACCAAGAATACTCCACAAATATGACCCAAAGGTCTTGCAACCCCATAGGATGGACTGGACCTCTCATGACCAAAATGGATGGCTAAGTATCTTCTCATGCTGCTGGGCCAACAAGTGCATGTGATTTCTATATGACAGCTGATGTCTCCTTCTCTGGGTAACTACAAGTTTTACTACCTTAAGTTCCATATGGATCTTGCATACATCTTTATCAGGAGAATCTAGAGTTGCCAATTGGGAAAGAACACAGCGCACTAAACTGTACCTCACATATTATGAAATAAGTTATGGTATGCCCAGGCACATGAAAGGCATTGTTCCTCCTCTGGGATCTTCCAGAAATATTTATATGTACACACGCAGCGCTTTTGGAATTTACAAGAGGTACCAGTGGGGCCTTTGCAGAGGACTGATCTGTAACTTTAATGAGTGTCCAATATACAGTGTTCTAAGAGTGATCTGTTCTTCATCCAACCACATTTTGAGCCTTAATATTTTGCATAAGTTCATCTATGTGGATTGCTAGTATGGACTATGTCCCTGCTTTGGGTATTATATCTTAACATAATTTTAAACTTATTTCTATGATGTGCACTGGGAAGATGCCTATTTTTTTCGCAGCTGCTGGTTTTTATTTTGGCCAATTAGGATATTATTTGGGATATGGTATTTATGTTGTGTTTGTATGTTTTGTTACTACAAGAAAATTATGATTTTACTTATGTTGAGCTGCCCCCCAGGTCTCTTATATAGGCAGTAGTGATCTTAGATGTTTATATAGTGAGTATTGAAGTTGATCCTTAGTCAGGTTTTTATCATTATTTTTCAGCATATACAGTATATCGGCAGCTTCCTTGTGGTTTACATACACCCATATTAGTTTTTTTTTTCTTCTTCTCTCCTATTATAATTAGTTTTGTCAGTAAAGTATAGACCTTGGATCTAGAGGACACATTTTATTGTGTGTTTGCAACATAGCACATAGGTACTGCAAAAGGACAAGTCAAATGTAGGTACTTACACTGCTTTTATTAAAAAAAATCTATTTCATAATAGATTAGTAAATACAATGCTGCATTCATTTATGTACCGTATTTTTCGCTCCATAAGACGCACCTGACCATAAGACTCACCTAGGTTTTAAAGGGGAAAAACAAGAAAAAAAAATATTCTGAACCAATGGACTGCAGACACAGTACAGGAGATGACCAGAGACTGTGGACACAATACAGGAGATGACCAGAGACTGCGGACACAGTGCAGGAGATGACCAGAGACTGCGGACACAGTGCAGGAGATGACCAGAGACTGCGGACACAGTGCAGGAGATGACCAGAGACTGCAGACACAGTGCAGGGGATGACCAGAGACTGCGGACACAGTACAGGGGATGACCAGGGACTGCGGACACAGTGCAGGGGATGACCAGGGACTGCGGACACAGTGCAGGGGATGACCAGAGACTGCGGACACAGTGCAGGGGATGACCAGAGACTGCGGACACAGTACAGGGGATGACCAGAGACTGCAGACAGTGCAGGGAATGACCAGAGACTGCAGACAGTGCAGGGAATGACCAGAGACTGCAGAAAGTGCAGGGAATGACCAGAGACTGCAGACAGTGCAGGGGATGACCAGAGACTGCAGACAGTGCAGGGGATGACCAGAGACTGCAGACAGTGCAGGGAATGACCAGAGACTGCTGACCTTTGGGGAGGGAGGGGGAGCGGGTACCTGAATTTGACAGGTACCCGCTCCCACTTCCCCGGAGTTGTCCTTCCTTCGTTCTTCCCGGGCCGGCTTCTGTGACAGCCGGGTGCCCACTGCGCATGCGCGAGAAGCGCTGCACTTTGTGAATGGCCCGGCGCCTTCTGGGACCTGTCATGTGTCCCAGAAGACAACGGATCATTCACAAAGTGCAGCACATGCGCAGTGGGCACCCGGCTGTCACAGAAGCCAGCGCGGGAAGACTACAGTGCTGGAGCGAGGAACAGGTAAGGCCCTGCAGGAGAGAACAGCTGAGCGGCCGGCCCGGTATTCTGACATGGTGGCGGCAGAAATACCGGACTGGCCGCTTTATATTCGCTCCATAAGACGCACTGACATTTTCCCCCCTTTTTTGGGGGGAAAAAAGTGAGTCTTATGGAGCGAAAAATACGGTATTTTATATCTGCTTGGAGTCTAGTTTTTATTTATCTGCTCTCATACTGTTTATGTTCAGGAAATGCAAAAAAGACCACTTAACTCTTCTATGTTTTTTCTCTGGGCAAAAAATTATTTGCTTCTATTGGCCTAAATGGACTTAAAATTAGAGGCAGAAGTATTAACTGAGTGCTTAGGCAGAGGCTGAGAGTCAAAACCTTGGCCAGACATATTTCTTGTCCCTTAGCTGCAGATTTTGGTTGAAAGTAGCAGTGCCAGCGAATCAACACACCTGTTGGAGCTGGAGGGGGACCCTTCAGGGTCACAGGTAAGTACAGTATATGTGTGGTCTTTTTGATTTTACTTAACATATGCAACATAGGGGACAGGAGGACCTAAAGTCATTTTCTGACTTCAGGTCTGCTTTAAATAAGGAGCAATGTAAAGGGGCACAGATGCTGACCACCAATGTATGGGGTACAGACACTGACCAGAAATGTATGGAGGCACAGGCACAGACCCCCAATGTATGGGGGTACAAATACTGACCACCAACGTAAGGGGGAATTATACATTGATAACCATTGTAGAGGGGACACAGACACTGGCAACCAATGTAAGTAGATACGGACACTGACAAACAATGTAAGGGGGCACAGACACTGACAACCAATGTAAAAAAAAACCCCATATATATATATATATATATATATATATATATATATATATATATATATATATATATAATTTTTTTCTTATTATTTATTTACAAACTTTTTTTTGTAAATAAATAATGGACATGGACACTGACAACCGATGTAAAAAATAATAATATATTGTTGAAAAAAATGTAAAAGCTTTTTTTTTCATTTTTGTTTTACATACTGTGACCTGTACTACTCTGGGATGGTGATCTGGACTTTGTTTTTATACTCTGATTGATTATCACAGCAATAAGCAATCTCTAACACTGTTCAAAGGTTTCATTCATGAAACCTTGCTTAATACTGTGATTGGCCACAGCTATCACATTGTGAAGGTCTGCTGTGATTGGTCCCTGTGCCATGTGATCACTGTGACCAATCACAGAGATCACGATAGTACACACAATGGCTATGGATGAAAGTCATTATTGACAACTGACATTAGATTGCTGTGATTGGTCACAGCGATCACATGGTACCAGGACTATGCAGATTGCTACACACTCCCCAGGGTGTGCATGAGGCATGTGAATGGGAGGACGTCATATGACGTCCTCCCGGAATAACAGTGTCCCCGCCTGGTATTTTGTTTTTACAATAAGCCGGGCACGAGGTTGTTAAGGTAGACTCAGACAAAGTGTTAGCTTTCTATCCATATTCCGGTTTATTTTTTAGAGATAATCCTTTACCCTTGTTTTATTGTGAGACTCTCACTTGTGGTACAGTAAGTAAAGTATATTTTGTGGGTTTGTACGATATGTGTGCAGTATGTATTGCACCTAGACTTAAGCTGACTATACATTGAACAATTTTCTTGTTTGATTATCTTTATATTTCCCTTCAACTATGTAATGCAAGGTACCGGTCTATAACTGGCTTATGCAGCAAGGGACATGGACAGGCATCGTATATCAAACAAAGAAAAGAAAATACCCAGTTCACCTTGCCAGCCAGCTCGCCAACAACCAAATTAACCTGTCTAACAATATGCGTTTAAAAACAGGGGTTTAATTAGCACACATTTGCAAATACATACATAAGCCACAGAGCCACGTCACGGCCCCCCCGATATTCTGTGGTCCTAACTCTACAAATTTTGAGAGCCCTCATAGTAGTGGCACATGCATTTAATGGATAGACCAAGGGTAGGTGAACCTGAAGGAGCCTACTCCTCCTTAAAGGCACAGGAGCGCACTGGACACCCAGCATATAGCCCAATGGCAGCCAGGGTATCCAGTGCACCCACTCCCCTACAATACAGCATACAAGAAGGTGGTCACTGCCCCGGTCTATAACTGGCTTTTGCAGCAAGGAACATGGACAGGCATCACATATCAAACAAAGAAAAGAAAGTACCCAGTTCAACTTGCCAGCCAGCTAGCTGATAACCAAATTAACCTGTCTAACAATATGCGTTTAAGGAGGAGTGGGCTCCCTCAGGTTCACCTGCCCTTGGTCTAGCCATTAAATACATGTGTCTCTACTATGAGGACTCTCAAAATTTGTAGAGTTAGGACCACAGAATATCGGGGTACCATGACGTGGCTCTGTGGCTTACATTTGTATTTGCAAATGTGTGCTAACTAAACCCCTGTTTTTAAACGCATATTGTTAAACAGGTTAATTTGGTTGTTGGCTAGCTGGCTGGCAAGTTGAACTGGGTACTTTCTTTTCTTTTCTTTGTTTGATATGTAGTGCAAGGGCCTGCCTGATTGCATACACATTGAAAGTGTATGTATGGACAGCCAGTATCCAGCGCAATTTAGCCATGCCCATTCTTTGTCACAACACTCTTTGCACAATACATGTTTTCTCCTTTCCAATTGCTTTTGGGGTTATGCAGAGCTTTTTTTCTCAGAAAATAGGTGCAGGAACTCAACCATGACCCCCCCAAAGTTGTGGGGATATTACACTCTACACTGCATTGCATCTGGGATTGATGCTAGTTATGTGTGGCTGTAAAGGACCCTGTGCTGTGCTACAGAGCAAATTGGCCATGTTTAGGCTAAAATGCAGCTTGAAACAATTTTACTTGATTTTAAAGCTATGATATAAAAGGTCTTGTGATACGTATGAAGGGTTAATACAGCCAAGGCATGATAATATTTGTTCAAGGCTGCCTCCCACTTGGTACAAAAATCCTTGTTCTGGCTGTATAGAACAGGTCACAGTGAGATTTTCCAATGCGTGGAATGCATATGACCTTGTAATACTGTGCCAGCAATGAGGAATGTAATTCAAGTATTCTTTGTGTCTTCGCAGAAGTCTTTAGCAACCAAGAAGAACTATAGAGCTGCCTTGTATTATAACATCTACCGGCAACCGAAACTTGTCTATTGTGTGCACAAATATGAATAGTTGTCTAGGGCTCCTAGCAGGTCTGACTTAAAGAACAATAGAACCTTATTTTTCATGTCTATTTCTCAACTGCTGGGAAAGGGTTAAATGCTTTCTTTATGATGGAATGTTCATGGAACCACAGAGTTATCTGCAAAACCCAAATGAGTAGTTCTGTTCCAAACCTGAAGCTGCAGATCCATATAGGAATTAAAATAAATTAAGAAAAAAAGGACTTCTGGAAAAAAAAGATTTAGTATTGTGCACCTTGTACACATTTTCATAGAAATACCTTTTTTTATACAAATGCAAAGAATGCTTTTTGTCTACAGTGACAATACCATTTAATGACTGGCAAGTCAAATATATCGCTCATGCTGCAAAAATCCTTACAGCTCCAAGAGGGTTATCACCATACTGATTTTCAGTCACATTGGGTAGTAGGTTGACTGTTGCCATTATGTTGTAGAGTTAAAATAACAAATAATTTGAAGAGCAACTCCAGCCAACAAAAAAAGAAGCCAAGTTACTGCTAAAACTATTATGGAAACCAGCAACATTTCTACAGAAAGAAAGTTGGCAAATGTAAGGTATAAAACGATGCCTTCGTGAATTCTGGGCATGTCCAGATAGGTTTGGATTTTAGAGTATATGTCTAAATAGAAAATGGCCTTGCAACCTCTAAATGATGGTTAGCAGTATATGATCCCCGGAGTCAGAAGGATCCCCCCCAAATGTCAATAGTAGCTGCCACAATGCTTTTCTTCATGGTCAAAATAGGAGTTATACGTTTGGTTGGCAGTATTGCTGAATGGGGCCGTTCTACAAGCGCACCACAATTGAGTGCAATGCACACGGTTGTGACATGTTAGTATAGTATTTAGGTGGTTAATAAAACAGGCTGTGATACGGTGAGTAAACAGACACATCTGAAAAGTGATACAAGCAGGAATTGCTTTTCAAAGGAGCAGAAATCACTACCACTAGTGTGCATGAGCCCTACCTGGGTATTGTTAATGTCACTTGAGTGTGTAATGCCAGAGATGGGTGTAACACTCTTCCATTCTACTAAGGTACAATATTGAACATGTGAATACTGTTGAATCTTCTCAGAATGTCCACCAATCAGCTAAGAAGCAGACAGGATATGTAGTGTAGGAGTGTGTTTCATCAGGTATATTGAATACTATGACTTGTAGAGCATAGGATAGTACTTCTGTGCACTCGTTCCTCCACTGGAGCCTAAATGTTCACTTACTGCTGTTTGCTGTAACCGCTTTTGAAGTGTTAGCAGGAGTTTAGCTTCAATTTTTAGTGTATCTAAATCTGCTAGTACTTCTCCCCCCAGACTGACAATGCTGCTGTCCAAAGGTGCCTACTTGCTCCTTCATCCAGAGTGGGGGCACTTCAATACAGAAGGTGTGTTACTGGCTAGATCACCAGGTTAAAATAGAGGGAAAAATTCTAAAAAAAATAAAACAAGCGCAGCCACTACATCTAATGATTGGTAAGCTGCAATCCAAATTTGTGGTTTGGGGTTTAATACTGCTTTAATAAGTGTGCTAAGCTTATTACAATATTGATTTGAAAAACAAAGGTGGAGTTGCCCTTAAAACTTATGGATCAGTTGCTGGGACTGGTGGAGATCATCAGCATGTTGCATTATTATGGCGATGGCCCCTTCTTGTTCCAACATGACTGCGCACCAGTGCACAAAGAAAGGTCCATAAAGACATGGA